CAGATCAAACCGCTACATCAGCTTCAGAAGAAGAGATCATTTAGAGGTTTCGGCACGTACTATTTGACCAATCAGGAGGATACAATGTGAAACAGTGATTCCACAACGATGGATGCAGGTCGTTGAATATTAGACAGTAACACATTTTGTCATATTTTTTGTTTTCAAAAGTTATGTTCATTTTTATTTTGTTTTAACTACAAAAAAGGTTGTCTGGGAATATTTTCGTCATAGTTTTGTTTAGAAAATTAATTCTGGAGCCTTACTAGTAGCGGCACTAACTAATATAGACAGATAGATACGATAATGGGGTTGTTGAAATCTAAAAGGAAGATAAAATAGGAGCTTATCCTGCAGACGTGGAAATTCTCAGTTTCATTTCTATCAGGTCTGAAAATACACTTCATAAAGAGCAAGACGTGTTGGGTTACATTATGTTTTAATACTGCTGAAAGATTTAATTAATTTTGTAATTATTAATAGCTCATTTTAATAAATTTGATTGTGCTCTAAAGTTTTATGTTTCATTCTACACTCACACAGATTATGTTTGTACTGTAGTCGGATGCCTGTTGGTCTGTTAGATGCTCTTTGTGGTGTACGCTGTGTTTTGTCTTGCTGGGGGTTTGTACACTGAAATGAAACCCGTGAGCATCTCTACCCGGTGAATAAAAGGACTGTTGATGATTCAGGGAAAAAGAGGAGTACGACGGAAGAAGACGAGGATCTGGAGGAGGAGAGGAAAAAGAACCTGTCCATCCTGCAGAGCATCCTCAGCAGCAGCAGCGTCCTTGGCAGCAGCAAGACGGCCGGCAAGGCCAAGACCTTCAGGTCAGCCGCTCACACACAAGTCTGGATCACAGCCACTTCTGAACTGGAACATTTGATATTCAATAGGAAATAAATTCTAAAAAGGAAATGTTTGTGTTTGCAGAGATGTCTCAGCGCTGCATTACGACCCCAGCAGAGAGGAACATGCTGCGTTTGAGACCAAAACAGATGAACCCAAAGAGAGGTACGAACACAGAAACTATCTCAGCACTAATAGTGACCTTATTAACCAGATAGGATATCAGCCACACGTAAGACACTATTCTTTGTTTTTGGTCTTGTTAACAAATCCCATGAGAAGAAAAAGATGTAAATCTTTAAAAAGGGCTCAGAAATATACAGCTTAATTTTTTAAAAGGGCTGTCATTTCCTAAAACAGCTGGTCACTGTAGTGTTTAGCATACATTACTCAAATAGGAGGAAAGATTGATGATAACTTGCTGAGGACTATTTTCAGCAGCGGATGAATCCACATTTAATTCTGCTGCATCAATTTTTCACGCTTTGAAAACCTAGAAAAACTCATCCAAACAAAATGTTCTTCAACTGATGTCATCATTATCACCTCAAACTGCACTCTAGTAAAACTGTCATGTGATCTGTTGTCTTCACAGCAAGTCAGCCAGAAAGAAGAAGAGGGAAGAGGCTCAGAAGCTTCCGGAGGTTTCTAAGGAGATTTACTACGACGTGTCTGGTGATCTAAAGGCCGTGTTCAGTGCGACGAAGGATGACGTCGCTGAAGGAGAGGAGGAGACGAACTGGGATCAAGAGGAAGAAGAGGAGCCAGGAGCGAAGGATGAAAAGCCGAACCCGCTGTCACCTCTCTTCTCAGCTGATCCCAGCGCTGAGTCTTCTGGATTTAAATTCTCCTTTTTTGGAGATGATGCAGAAACAGAGAATAGAGAGACAGGTAGGTCATATCTCGGATATTTCACACTGTCGGAGGGAAGATTTGTTATCCCAATTTTTTAAAATCTGTCTTTCTTTCTCTCTGCAAGAAGAGTACAAGATAGAGAGCATCACGGCGCCAAAGGTGTCATGGCAGCAAGACCCACGTTTCCATGACAGCAGCTCAGAGGAGGATGAGGAAGAAAAGGAGGAAGATGAGGAGCACAGAAGCGTCGCCGCTAACATCGCAGAGTGAGGAAAAATTAAGATTTAATCATGTAGCGGCTGTATGACCTGTTGTCCGATCGTATCAAAAGTCAAAGGGTCTCTATTAGGAGTGCAACGAACGACTGTTTTCAATTTGTGTTTTCTCAATTAATCAAAGAATTGTTTTGTCTATGAAAAGTCAGAAAATAGTGAAAAGGGCTTGTTATGATTTCCCAAAGCCCTTGTTTTATCCGACAATCAGGCCAAAACCAAAATAAAGTAAATTTAGTATAATTTATGAAAAACTAGAACAAGAGAATATTTGGCATTTATGCTATTAAAAATGACAAGATGATAATGATCAGTTGTCAAAATAGTTACGATTTCAATTTTCTGTTGCTCGATGAATAGATTAATCGAATATTCGTTCGTCGCAGAAGTGAAAAAGTAGAGCTTGAGCGAGAAGTTCTCTACACTGATTGTCACACTGTCTGTTAAAGTTAAAATACTTGTAGGACGCAGTATGTTTGAGGTATGCTGAGGCCTTAACATTTACCTATTGACCTGCGGTTTGACTGTTAAAGAGTGGGACAGTTATTCTAAAATCAAATGTCATCTGAATGTGTTTGTGTTACTGTTCACAGAGAGGAGACTCCTTCAAATGCAGATCGATTCTTCTTCTTCCCTGAAGACAGCAGATTGATGGGTAAGATGATTTACTTTTTTATTTTTTTATTTTTTCCTGTTTTCAAGCAGCAGATTAAATCTTCATATATAATTTCATGATCCCAACATTGAAATGTTGTGCTGTTTCTTTAACGTTGATCTGCACGCTCTCTCTCTCTTCCATCAGAGGGTCCCAGGTTGTTCTGTCGGTCCTCTCACCTGGAGGAGCAGAAGGAGGAGTGGGAGGAGAGGAGGAGTGCCCTCAGACAGGTACACATCAGTTTACATGAGCTTCACACAGTAACGTTATCAAAAACAGTCGCACCTCGTTTACGTAGTGAAGTGAGAATTGCAAGAACTTTGTGCAAGACAGTTTTCTGTTTTGAAAATGTTTAAAGAGTAACTTAACACAAAATCTACTTTTTTGGGTTTGTAAATTATATGTACAGGCAATCTAGTAATTCTATCCTCTCTAGACTAAAAACATATCTGATGTTGCCTTGTACTCCACGACCCCCAAGTATAAGGCAATGTGTTGATCAGTGTTAGTGTTTGGGGCAAATCAGAGAAGGTAGAGACTCAGGTAAGTGTGTGGGTTTTAGTGGCATCTAGTGGTGAGGATCGCGAATTGCAACCTGATTGCAGCACAGCTCAGCCACTGCTCACCCCTCCCTTTCCAAGTGTGAAGGAGAAGCTACAGCATCCGACACGCTCTGTCGGGTCTTGTGCTAAATAATAGGTGTGGTCCTCCATTTGTCCACATTTCACTTCTCTTCTTACTTCTAATACACTGGACCACTACTACTACCACTATTACTTCAACTTGTACTTCTTCTTTCTTCCTCGTGCGTATTCTACATGGTGACGAAACTCTGTAGCGCAGTTTGTCCGTTTGGGCTACTGTAGAAACATGGCAGCTATGGTACCATGTAAGGGGACCTGCGGGGTATGTAGAAAGACGGGGCTCATTCTAAAGTAAAAAGTATAACGGTTCATTATGGAAGCGCATTACATTCACCAAAGACAAAAAAATTAGACCGCATATCTCATAATTACGGGAGATCGGGGTCTCGTAATTAATTATGAGAAGAGATAAAATCAGTCCATCCATTGTGAACCACTTATCCTGTGTACAGCATCCAAGGGCATCACTTTGTGTTGAAAAGTGGTGGGGACAAGGGCTCAGATTAGGGGCGTGATGATACTCTTGGATCACGAGATGTGACAATGCACAAGCTGAGAAGATTTTTAACACTATTTGAAGAATGCTGAAATTTATGAGCGTGAGGCCTGGAGGTCCTCCAGAAAATTGTAGTATTAAACACTTAATGTCCCCAGAATGCAGGAAATTTCCTGCTCCAATTTATGGTGGAAATGTCTCTTTTTATGTAAAGGGAAACAAAACAAAAAATTCAGCTGGGAGGTGACAATTCATAAATATAAAAATATAACAGAATATAATGCAGTTATCAGCTGCTTGTTCTTTTTAGCTTAAGTTACTTTTTTAGGACAATGCACATTTGTTTCTTCTTTATTTAAATTGCATTGCATGTTTTCTTGTTGTACAAATAAACAGCGTTTTAACTTGTTAGTTAACATTTCTTGGTGCAAGCTATTTTTCAGAACATTTTTAACAAATGCTTTCAAAATTTGATTGGGACAAAATCAGCCATTTCAAAATGTGGTGGGGACAAGTCCCCAGTGTAAATGACAGCTATGACGGCATCGCAGAGGGGCTGAAGCCAATCCATGCTGATTTACGAGATAAGGTATCTAATTTTTTTCCCTTTGGTGAATGCGAAGTGCTTCCGGTATTATGTAAGGTCTGGTTACACATGGTTACAGGTTCACTGAATGAAATAAAACCCTCTGCTACAGAAAGATCTTCACACACACCTTCATATGTCCAGCATGGCAGGAGTGTAGTCACATGATCAAACACAACCAACTGAGAGCAAGGCTCACCTAAGGAGGAACTGAAGAGTTCAGTTTTTATAGCTCTTGAAGCTAAATACTTTCACTTGTTAAAGGACATTTACACATGTGCTCATATTCACAATTCTGAATACACATGTATGGTTTGAGAAACCTCTCCTCAAACACATTTGAACTAGTGATGGCATGGACTGAAACGGGGAAGATTTAACAAATAGTTTTCTACTTTCCTGTTCCACAGGAGTACCGCAAGAAACACAAGGATGCCCGGAAGAAGCTGAAAGCATCTCAGAAAACTTGAGGATTACGGGACGGGAAGTCTCTGTGTTTCAGAGGTTGCTGGTCAGGACTACAGAATCAGGAGCAGACAGATTATTTCTCTCTTGGTGCCATTTTGTGCCCCAGACTGATTTTTCTTTTCACAGTCAGCAACCAAATGGCTGCTGAAGACAAACATCAAGAGAAAGATCAAGTTCATCAGATTTATTTTTTATTTTAGTAAATACTCTATTTTGTGGTCAGTCATGGGATCGATGCTGCAAATGAACTTCTGGACAGTACGCAGCATCAGTCCGTCACAACTTCAGGGGACCCAACCTGTAATAAAATCAAGAAATAAACAACTTTTCTTAAGCCAGTTTTGGTCTTCTGTACCTCACAGGACCTGTTACTGTATCACAGTCGTCAGGCTTCTGGAGTCAAACTACTGAGACTAAAAAGACAGTTAATAGATCGGCAGACCTGGAAATGCTGCAGGTGTCGTCACGCTGTTCATTTGATGAGAAGCCTCAGTGTCCCTTTGTGCTGTGAAATAAAGTGAAATGAGATTTTGTTCATTAAATATGAAGAAGCTTTCAGTTTGTGAGAATACACTTAGTTATAAAGTTGTATTGTTTATTTAAAAACAGAAGTGGGTCTCAGAGTGGCTCTACATGATGGGCTAAAATGTTTTTTTGTTTTTCTAAGAACCCTCTCTTGTCTGCCTGAAACCGAATTCTGGTTTTAAAAAAAATGTTTTTAATTAAACAAAAAGTTTATTTGTAATTATACACCTTGTAAGAATATTATCAATTGAAGCAAATAAAAGTCTTTAAAACTAGACAAACTAAACTTAGATAATAATGAATTGCGTGAGATCTATTTGACTGATCTACTTCTGCTTACAAACTGAAGACAATTACTAATTAATTACTAACTAATTGTTATATGTTTTATATAGTGATGTGAGTTAAAAACTAAAGTGTCTAGCATATCCACGCTCAGAAAAGAAGTCTTCACTTTATCTCATGCTCATTTTTCCTCCTTATTTTGAAATGTGTGACCGGAAGAAGCTCCCAGTTGTCTTCACTGTGTTGATCCTGGTGAATAACAAGTGCTAAAGTGCGCAGGAGACTCAAAACTTCTCCATCAGGACCAGAAGCGGGGTCGGACTGCGAGACGAACTGTTTTATGGACATTTTTTGTTTCAGGAGTCAAATGTTTGTCGCAGCACATGTCTGTAGGAGAGACAGATAACACGGACCAGTTAGTTCAAAGATCAGAAAAACCTTTTTAAAAATGAGCCCGGTTTTGTGTCTTTTGGTTCTCTTTCTGCGGACCGCTGAGCTCCGTCACGTCCACGCAGCCCAGGACGCGCTGGAGGGGCAGCGGGCAGGGGATGCTGGCGCGCCGGCTGCGGGGACCCTGGAGGCTCTGGACCGTATGGAAAGAGTTCCCGAGCTGAAGCGAGTCGCCCGAGGAGCCAAAGATAGGAATTTCGGGAAAAGAGACCCGCAATTACCGAGCAGTTACAGCCATCCGCGGCGGCACGACGACCCGAGCGGGTACTTCACCACACCGCGGAGCCACCGGGACGCCTCCGCCCCGCCGGGTAACTCTTCGTCAGGCCACGGGTCGGGGCTCCTCAACCCGCTGTTCCCGGTCACCGACGGCTCCTACTGGGCGTACGCAGTCATGCTGCTCGCCCTCGTGCTGTTCGCAGCGGGCATCGTGGGGAACCTCGCGCTCATGTGCATAGTGTGGCACAACTTCTACCTGAAGAGCGCGTGGAACTGCATCCTGGCGGGGCTCGCCTTCTGGGATTTCCTCGTGCTGTTCTTCTGCCTTCCCGTGGTCGTCTTCCATGAGCTCACATTGAAGAGGTTGCTGGGAGACCTGTCCTGTCGGCTCGTGCCCTACCTGGAGGTGAGGAGGATAGGTTGATTGTGCGCGTGAGAGTTCAGGTGGCGCACTTGAAGGATGTTGAAACATTTTACTCAAGTAAAGTTAATTTCCTGAAATTCTAGTATGACGAAACATCACGAGATTAGAAATATTGTTAAATGAATAAACTTTTTATTTAAATTTGTTTATAGGGGAGACCGGGGTTGGTTGGCTCACCTTTCGTTCTGGCATGATTTAATATTCTAACCATAAGCATACCTCAGCTATAAATATGTTTTAATGTGCTTAAATGTTTTAAAACTAGGTGATTTGAACATCTATCAGTAGTTCACCAGAAGGAAGGTGTAATTACTTTTGCTATTTACCATTAAAAAGAATAACAATATAAACAACGTTTTTAATCTCAAAATACCCCAAGAAGCACAAATTCTTTAATCATTTAAAGGACTATTTATTGTTGCACAGGGTAACTCATGGTATAAATTAGCCAAAAGATGATAGCTGAATGTATCTAAAGATATCTAGATATCTGTACCAATTCAGCTATTATGCAGCCATAGTGAGGCAAAGAGATGTCAAACAAATCAAAAAGTTAAAACAAACAACTTAATGTGATGATAATTAATCTGTCCCCCCTTCCCCCGGTTTTAAAGTCATTGTAAATGTTTTCCAGTTTAATAAAGAGACATCCAGGACTGGGATGAATGGCCTGCTTGTGTCTTGTTGCACCTCAGACTCAGAGCAGTCTTTACTTTCAACAGACGTACTGTTATGGTCTGTGCTCAGCTGCCTGTTATGAACTGTCAGGGCAGGCCGGCTGGGGCCCCACATGAAGCGACTCTTATGCTTACTTACTGTTCAGGGTGTAGAGATCCAAAACTAATTTTCAATAATGACACTATTGCTGTCTGTAACAAAAACAGGAGATCATGATAAAACAAATGTCGTGGGCCACTCTTCAGTCCTTTTATTAGTATTAAATACCAGTTCCAGTGTTTCTGCACTAGGATTTAATATTTCTCTACTTAAATTTCATTTCTGGCAGAATGGAGATGGCTTCAAAACAACATAGAGGCTAGGGCTGCAATCATTTGATCTATTACATGTCAAAGAAATAAATGCCGATCACAGTCTAAAGTGACCTTTTAAGATAATAGTTTATGTAAAAGAGAGAAATCCCCACATGTGAGAGTCTGGAACTAGATTACGTTATTAATCAGCTAATCGTTTCAGCTCTAATGGAGACCTTCATGTTGGGAAATAAGATGAGTCCATATACTTTTAAATAATTTCCATTCCTTTATGGGGAAAATAGAGATGACACTCTGTGACTGGTGTTTGACTTCAGTTCCTTGTGTTAAATCTACAAGCAGCTTCATTTTCCAGAAACATTTTCATGAAAGAACTGCTTTAATTTAAATACGAGAATTGAACAAATGGAAAATGTGCTTTTCTTCGCTGTAACTTAAATTTTCTCCCCATCTATACATATGAGATTTTCTGATTCAGTGTCTTGCTCAAAGACACGTCGAGATGTGTACAAGAGGAGATGGGAATCGAACCGCCAACCTTTTATCAGTGGACTTGCTCTACACTCCCACCCTCACACTCAGTCATTGATCAGTGATTTGTAGAGCAATGACAAGATAAGATCAGATCTAGGACTGCAACTAATGATTATTATTTTGATTATCAAATAGTCTGCCAGCTATTTTCATGATTAATTAATTAATCATTTGGTCTATTTAATGTCAGCTCTAAAGCACAAGACATTTTGTCTGCTTGTTTTACTCAAGAAATTTGAACACAGTTGAAAACCCAAAGATATTAAATGTACAATATCATAAAACATAATAAAGCTGCATGTTCTCACAACTGAGAAGCTGGAACAAAGGAATGTTTTCTAGAGGAAATTACTTTTATTTAAAAAAAATTTCAATCAACTAATCGATTTATTGTTTCAGGTCTTATCACATCATCACAATATGATTCTTCTGAAAGTTGATTATTTTATTGGAAGTAGTACTGCAACTTTATTGATTAATCAAAAGATTATTTTGTTGATTCATCATTGAGGCAATAAAATTTGAAAATAGTAAAAAGAAAATCGATCCAAGTTTGACCGAATCCAAAGCCATCAGTCAAAACTCCCCAAAATGTTGTGATGTGACATAAAGTTGGTCCTGAAACCAGAGTTGTCTTTGTCGTATTTTATTCTGAAGCTTCAGAGGTACAAATCATAGAGAGTACAGAGCAGTCTGCAGGAGACTACAAAGAGGTGTGAATGAGTTTTTATAGAGCTGTATAGCGTGGTTGTTTATAGCTTCCGAAGCTGAGCAGAAAATGATTGTGAATGGCAGTTACTAAAACAATGCAGTCAATGAAACAGGAACTTTGTCTAACGCCTGTCAGATAGGGGCCCTGGGTCATTAACGTATATGAGAATAGACCAGAGGACAAGTACAGAGAATGCAGAAGTGAGAACAACCGAACTCACGGTGACCCGCGGTAAAGCACACAATGTTCTTCATACATACATCAAACAATATACGAATCATACAATAATGCATTAAGATACATAAATTACACATCTAAGCCAATCAGTAGCTGAATTTAGACCCTCACAGTAATTATGTGTCACAGCCTGTTGGTTACTCATTGCAGAGTTTTCATTGGCTTCATCAGTCTCCTGTTTCTTGGATGCCGGCCTGTGGAGTACTTTCTTTTATTTTATTTTTTTTTTACGCCTACAGAGCTTTAAATCACTGAAGTGGACTTTTACTAATTTGTAATAACAGCTTGTACGAAGCAGTCTTTAACAAGGTCAGGCTGCTGCCCCCCTCTATTCTTTGTTGCTTCACCTATTTTTATGCTAATTCATTCATTCATTTCTTGCTAATTATTTAACTTTTTTTAAAGTGGACTTCAGCAGTTTGTGCTCTGAGCTCTGTATTCAGCAGTGTTTAAAGCAGGTCAGGCTGCCAGCTGCCCCTGTGCTCGTTTAGTTAAACTATTTTCATGCTAATTAGAGCTCTGTGGTAATTATCTTGAGTTGTGTCTTAACTGTTTGAGGTCATTAAGCACTCACAGAGGGAGGACAAGTCTCTGTAATGATAGTCTGTGTTTTGGGCCAAAACTACAGACTTTAATGTGCACGAGGTACCAATAACTGTCCCAAGTGTGTAAGCTAAGTGCCGTAATGGCTCTATTCCCTCTGTGGCTCCTTTTTATTTACCTATTTCTGTATTCTAAAGCTTTTCACAACCTAGGTCTTACGTAGTTTTGGCTAATTCACTTATAGGCTGTAAGGAAGAATTTAGTGTAGCATCTTTCACAGATCAAGGTAACAAAGTGCTTTACAAGAGAAACATCTAAAGAAACAACACTAAAATAAAACAACAAACAGTAAAAAATACCAACAATAAAACAGCTGTTGGCATAATAAGGCAGAGGAAAGCCTCAAATCTGTTCTTTAAGCAACAAAACAATTTAGACGGTCTGCAGGACGCTTTGTCTGAGTTCTCAGTCATGCTAACAGGCCACGTCAAACTGGAATCAGAGCAGCAACATGAATGAATACAGGTCAAGGGACAACCTGCAAGTAGCTCTGCTAAAAAAAAAAGTCTGTGCTGATATAAAAAAAACTTTCCCTTTTCAATAGCACTTTTTTATAAGGCAGCCTTTGTAAAGGATTTATACTTAGTAACACTACTGGCTTTATTAATGGTAATAAATAATTTACTACTACTATGTTTTTCACTTATTAGTTATGAATGAGAACAACATTTGGGCCAAATTGGCTATTGGACCTCTTGGAGGCATGGAGTGCATCCGGACTGATTGTCTTTTATAACATAACATAAACAAAAGTTGCAAGTCATGTTCATTTTTCCCATTGACACAGTTCTCCAGCACTTCAGTCTTTGATGGACGTGACACCCCTGGCTGAATCATCAGTAGAAAAGAGGAACAACTGTGTTAGAAAATATATCCTTTAATATAAAAGTGCAAGCATGTAAGGTTGCAAGGTTGGGAAAGCAACATGCATTCACAGAGCTTCAAATTCTGTTATTTGTGCCGCTAATGGCAGCTGAAGCTAAAGATTACATTGTGTACAGTTTCAATTAATTCACTTTTAGATTCTGAGAAAATTTTGGATGAATTCAGTAACTATGGCACCATGTTGTGTTCACTGCAATGAAGAAGACGTTTGAGTTCAGTACAGTTTTGCAACTCTATTAAAACAATACTTTAAACATTGTGGAAATATACTTTTTCTTTTTGTTTCTGAGGGTGAGGTTTTTCGATAGAATTCATTCTCCTAGTACGGAGCTGGGCTTTAGGGTAGTTGCGTGCTGGAACTAACTTTGACATTTACTGCAGACTTGATGGATGCGGGCAGCACAGTGGCGCAGTGGTTAACACTGTTGCTGGACAGCTAGGGGAGCTTCAGGATTTATAGAGTTCAAATTTGCAGTTTGAATGTTCTCCTGGTGGTTGTCTACCCTACCTCTCGCCCAATCTAAGCAGAGATAGGGTCCAGCCTCCTGCAATATAAACAGACATAGATTATGCGTAGTTAAAGTAATTAAAAAATGTACTTATTTAACATTGAAGGGGTATTTATGATGAATGAAAGAACTAGATAAAAAAGAACAATTGAGTGCCATGCTGGAGGGGGTCACCACCAGCAGGTGAGGATTTTTTCTCAAATGGGCAACTCAAACATTGTTCTTATTAATTGCTTATACTTATTCTTCTTATTAATTGCGTATTCCCCAAGAAACCTGTTCCATTGACCTTCATTTCCACACCTCTCTCTCACTTCTCTTTTAGGTGACCTCTCTGGGTGTGGCCACATTCAGCCTCTGTGCTCTGAGTATTGATCGCTTCCATGCGGCCACCAGCCCCGGGCCCCTTCAGAAGCCGAAGGTGGAGCCCTGCCAGTCCATCCTATCCAAGCTCTCCGTCATCTGGGTGGGCTCCATGGTGCTGGCCGCTCCTGAGCTGCTGCTATGGCAGCTCCTCCAGGAAAATGTCAGCCTGCCGACACTCACCACTGACCTGCAGCAGAGCCAGTCGGGAGGCTCACTGATGGCTGCCTTTAGGGCTCGAACAGGCGCGTTCAAGGTGGATATCTGTGTTTGTGAGCCGTCTGTGGAGCTCCCAGAGAACATCTACTCTTTGGTGCTGACCTACCACGAGGCCCGCATGTGGTGGTTCTTTGGGTGCTACATCTGTTTGCCGCTGCTCTTCACCCTGGCCTGCGACTTGGTGACGAGGCAAGTGTTAGCCCAGCGTCTTCCACAGAAACCCGGCGGTGACAAGGTGACCGCCAGATGCTCTTCCTCTTCGACAAAGAAGAAGCAGCATGTGAGGGAGCAGAGGCTGCGTACCACTGTGATGGCACTCACCATCTTGTACATCACATGCAACCTGCCGGAGAGCATTTGTAACATCACCCTGGCGTATGTCTCTGCCCAGGTGTCCGATGCGCTTCCGGCTCTGGCTCTGCCAGCACTGAGTCTGATTGGACAGTTCCTGCTATTTGTGCGTTGCTCTGCGACACCGGTATTGCTGCTTTTCCTGTGTCGCTCGCTGGGCCAGGCTTTCATGGACTGCTGCTGCTGCTGCTGTGAAGAGTGCCTCCCCGATGGCAACTCCTCTTCATCGTCATCTGCTTCAACCACCGCCACCTCCAACCTCTCCTCACCCACATCGCCTTCTCCATCCTCCCTGTCTCCTTCCAGCAAAGAGGAGACGAAGAGCATATTGACGACAGAACCAGCAGTCTGCTATGACACAGCGAAAGACTCTTCAACAGCTATCGGGACGCCCTGCTGAGGTCCAGAACTGTATTTAGCTGCAAATAACTTTAAAGGATGATTTAGTTTTTTTTGCATCTTGGGTCCTATTTTCTTAGTTTTGTCCACCATTTCTAACAGCTATAACTATATTGTACTCACTATTTATGAAGTGAATAGCAGTGATCTGGTGATTTACTACGAAGAAGTCGGACGGGTCGAGAAACACAAACAGACAGACAGAAAACAAACAACAGTTCAGATCACACTATATAGTCAAAAGTTTGTGGACACCCTGTCTCAGTCTGTTTTTCTTGATTTGGTCTAGGCCTCTTAGTTCCTATAAAGGAGCCTCTTTATGCTACTTATGATACTTTGGACAGTAGTGTGCTTCCAGCTTTGTGCCAAATGGCTTTCGTGTTCCTAGAGATAATCTCCCTGTGCAAAATAAATCCATACAGATATTGTTTCCCAGTGTGGTGTGTAAGATCTTAAGTGGTCTGCCAAGAGCACTGATCTCAACCCTATCCAACACCTTTGGGATGGGTTGGAGTCCAGACTGGGAGCCAGACTTGATCATCAGTGTTGGAGCTCACTGATGCTCTTGTAGCTGAATGGGAGTAAATCCCTGAAGCCAGGTTCCAACATCTGCAGGAAAGTCTGAAAATCAAATGATTAATCTATAAAATATTTGAGACTAATGTTCAGGCATCCCGATACTTTGTTGGGTTGTTCACACACACTTGGTCATGTCTAAACCACTTTATTTTAAAGCTACAACTAGGGATGAAACTATATGAAAATTTCATATCACGATTATAGTGACCAAAATTATCACAGTTATCAGTATTATCACGGTATTGTAAAAATGTGCCAGAAAATATTAAAATGTGCTGATACACACACTGAAACCATTTCAACAAGTTTTATATTGAAAACTACAAATACAATTGCCATTTTGTTTGCATAAAAAATAAAATAACAGAAAATACCTTTTGTAAACATATCTAAGTGTGCATTATCAAGATTTTATATTATATAGGTAATACAATGACCCCGTGGACAATTACATAAAAACAAATAAGTCTTTAGAAGACCGTGATAGTGTGATGAGAACTGTGATGAGAACAAAAACTGACATAAATACAGAGGAGTCTGTAGCGTTTCTAGATATGCTGGTTGGTTGACTAAACTGCGTAACGTCTTATCATGTGCAGTGGACGAATAGACTCTGCCGACACACGACGCACACAGCAACAGAAAAACGTGTAGCGTTTTTATAAGAGCAGCAACACTGAGAGCTTCAACTATGGTAAGTAGAGTAGATAAAAGATGGAACAGGAAGTGGCCAAAACTTGTTTATCAAACTTACAGATTTGTTTCCAACCTGTCTAATCATCTTACTGTGATCTTCCTTTTCTCAGCTATTAACTTGGTGAGTACAATATTATTATAACTGATTGAAATGATTAACAAAACTATTTAAATAAAACCCACGTTGTAATAAATTGGAATGATCCTTTAATCTCCACCTGTAAAAACAGAAGGTATGGAGCCACTGTAGGAGCAGATACTTGTCTGCCAAGAGTTAGATGAGTAAATACAATATAGAGTTTGTTTTTTTAGTTTAGTGTCCACCTGTGATGAATTAATCAAGTTATTGTAGGACTCATTGTTTTGCAGTTTTTTATGGTACATTTTACAGTTATAGTTATTAATTATTTTCTAATATTCATTCGGGATGTTAGTATCATCTGTTCTAAGTACTGTATTATATAGAAACACTGGGTAATTTGACTTTGGGAAATTTTAAAATGGCTAAACTGAAAATGTTGACATACTGAGTCTTTTGTCAGCAGACTGACAGACTGCTGTGAACTTTGTGAACTGTTTTTTTTTATTGAATTTTTTTGTTGTTTCTGTTTATATGCCCGACTTACACCTTGTCAACACAGGATGTGTCGTGTAAGTAGTACATTGCAGCTGCACATGTGGGAAATGTATCCTGTATAGACAGCAGGTTAAATCTGGGATGAGCTCATATTAGAGATCAATCAACAATTTGAAGCTACATGAAACTATCCAGTGTGAACTTTGACTATTTTTCTACTTGTTTTATTACTTTTGTTTTAGTAAAGTTTAGATTTTCTTCAAGAACAACTGTTTTGCATCACATGTGAGTAATTCCCTCTCAGTACGTTTTTTATGTCTGGTTTACACTTTATCAGCTGATATAAACAATAGAGCTGTTGGTGTTAAAGCCATCTGTGTTTACAGAACCTTAATTCCACTAATGACTGAAATAGAAATGAGTTACATCTTTCACAATCTGTGCAGCAGATGATTTTCTGGAAGTGCTCTTTTTTACTCATTTTAAATATGAATGTATGAGTTTTATACATTTGTTTGTTTGTTTGTTTGTTTTTACCAACAGAATCACATCTTAAAAGACTAGTCTGGTGACATATTTTTCTTATTGTCAACAAATCCCATGGAAAGACCAAACCAACAATGAATTTATCCTACTAACAAGTATTGTCTATGTATCCAAAGTCTGATATATCGTCTTCCTATGTGCCATAGAGCTCCATTGTTGTCCAAAAACTATTAAAACAACACGAGTCACACTGTTGCACTGGGTGACATGTTCTCTCATAACCATGAACACACACACTGTAGTTTAGTTTGATTGATGTATTAATGCATTATTTCTTCCTGTTTTGATAAAAATTACAGTGGCCAGCTGTTTTAAGGAAATTACTGAGTCTTTTTTTAAAAATGAACCTGTATTTTAAACATGTATGTCTTCAGTTGGAACCAATGGACTTGGGGCTGAATTCAGAGACGAACTATCACATTGTTGGTTTTGGTCTGCACGTGGGATTTGTTGACAATAAGGAAAATGTAAAATAACTTCAGTCATATCCTGTAAGTTGTCTCTCATTAAAAAGCAAGCACTTCCTCAGTGTCACTTGTTAAATTGGATTTTTTTAATAAAGAGGAATATAAATCTGCTGACATCCAGGTCCAGTTCAGAGTGAATTCAAATGTTCAGCTGCCAAGCATGGGTACAAAGAAAGCCAGAGAAAAGACTAATAGAAAACAGAAAAAGAGGAAAAAACAAGAGAAGAACCAAAAAATGGGGGGAGGAGAAATGTTTTCCAAACAAAGACAGAAAAACAGGCCAAGAGACAGAGAAGGAAAAAGGCGAGTTTCCTGGTGGAGAGTTGCATTTGTTCCTAAACCATAATTTTTCTCAATCAACATCTAAACACATTATGTGGATTCATTTTATTTAGAAAAATACAGATGGCTCATGTTGTAGTCTGATCTCCATTGGAAGGAATGCTGCGCAGCAGTGCTCCCAACACCCACTGAAGCAGAAAGCTCTTCATGCCCGACTGTGACGCTCCTTTTTGTCATTATTCAATTATTGAAGGTCACAGCTTCACAATAACAGTTGGCCTTTGAGTTTCTGAAGACATAATACGCACAGTCACTCTGTGGCCAGTAGCTGAGGAGAGCAGACAAGAATTCATTGCTTAACCAAGTATTTTAAACCATTTCACAGCTTTTTTTTTACTTTTAATATACAGACCAAAAAAAACTCACCCATCTCTTCAAAAACTGTCTACAACTTTGTGAATACTTTATAATGTAGCCAGAAATTCATCTAGTTCATTAAGAAATTAAAAACTAATACAAAGGTATGTTAAAAAAAATCACATTTCAAACAAGTTGTCTTCTAAGGAAACCCTGAAGTCACAAAAGCTGCAAGATTCATATCTTGATAGAGATCTAGAGGTCTTTTCTCTGCAAGATAATATATGGATCAAGATGCTGCTCTAGGCATGGATCTTGTGCCTGCAATAACTTAAAAGAAAGTAGACATTATGGTTTTAACTGCTACTAAAATTCTCCTTTTTCTATTTCTTCACCTGTTCAATAAACAAGATAAAACATGTAAATCATGTTGTATTTAATTGGTTGCACAAAACTGTCTAGTTTGTTGTTATGATTAGTAGGAGTAAAATCAAAACAAAGAAAGATATGTCTTGTATCTGCTAACCAGCAGATTCCAGCAGAAAACCTGAATTTTAACAGCCAAGGACATTTTGGAAAATTGAGCAGTGAACAAAACAGATGGAGCAGATGAGGGTTTCACTGATCTCTTAAAACTCTCGCTCTTCTCTTTGCTCACTCCACCACATTGTTAGCAAACCACAGACTGGTCATGTTTTCCTCTTTTTTATCAATTGCAGCCGGTGACTTTTGGTGCTGATGGAGAGAACAACAAAAACAAAAAAAGAAGTGATGCTGCTCCAATTTAAAAGTTGTGTTTTAACATCAGTTTAGGAACAGGAAATGAAAAGAGAGCAGAAAAAGTGATAAAAACATAAAAAGTAGAGGGTTCAACATTTTAAAAAAAGCATTACCCTACATCACAACTTCATATAGGCTGTAATTCATCATTTAAATGGACCATTTTCTTGAACACAGTAAACACAACACAACCTGAAGGCAACTTGGCATGGCTGTTTGCTGTTATCAGTACAATTAACCCTGCATTCACATGGTGTCGGAATAATCAGATAAATGACTATCCTACTGGGACAGTTCAATTAAATGCACCCTCAAGTCAGAAAAACTCGGAAAGTCTGTGAACATTTTGATCAAAATGGATAGCTACATAACAACCTATCACCTAGATGCTATTTAAGACAGTCCACGTTGTTTCCACGTTAAGACTCAGCTTATGAACACACATGCCCAGTAGAACAACTTCCCAACTCGGGAAATGGGACCATGCGGGGAGCACATGAACATTAGTTCACTTGTTCTGATTCTGGTTGCAGGCCCACAGCTGGTCTGAGTGCTGCTAACAGGAGCTGACTCTCCAAATGTGCCACGTCCACACCCCTAAACCTGAGCCAAATCTGGCAACTATGGTTTGGTCAGAACCGGCTCACATTTGGACCTCTGGGACCAGAAAACAGGCAAGTGTCCCTACACTCAGCCACTACTGGCTTGAGCTGGAAGTAAATCTGGGATAGGTATTAGCTCTTAATGAGCGTAGGAATAGGATGGTTAAATTTTTCAGGATGTTGTGGTGCAATTTTATGTGTAATTTTGCTGTTAAACTAATCCAAGAGCAACCTTAATCAATACATCAATCTAACATGTCATTATGAAAGCAACCCTTATTGCTGTACTTGACGCTGATTAAACTGATATCCTTCTTCTCATCTAACAATGGGGAAGGTGCAGAAAAAAGTATTTTACAAAATGTTCCTTCAAAAAGTCTTAAGAGAATGGGAGTTTCCCTTGTGTGGAGATTAGAGTTTATGCTTTTTATGCAATAAATAGTTGAAGTTCAGTCTCAGTTCCTGGTTTCCACAACTAAAGAAACAAGAAACTGAATGAGTCGAATAAGAAGCAGGGGCGTCGGACAAATATCTGGGCCCTGTACAAAAGCATTCTCTATGGGCCCCTCCCCGCATCCACGGCTATTTGTTCTAGTATCTTTGTGGGCCCTCCACACGAGGGCCCTGTATACTCAGGCTACATCTTTAGTGTAGTGTCTTGTCTTGTCACTAAAGGTGACCAAGCCTTTGCTGTTCAGGCCCTTCAGCTGTGGAACTTCCTGCCCGGAGATCTCAGGCAGGCAAACTCAGTGGCCTCTTTTAATTCTCTTCTCAAATCTCACTTTTATCTTATGGCGTTTTTATGAACATTATATTATTGCTGTTATTGTATTATTTAATGCGGATTTTATCGTTGATTTTTATTTTTAAGTATGTATCATTTTTGTTTTACTGTACAGCACTTTG